CATCCTTACACACAAGGGGAACACAGATGCCAAGTAGGTATCGGTGATTGTCTGCACCCAAATGGTCGTCGCTTGTAAATAGTTGCAAATACTAGAACAGGGTTTCAGTCCCGAAAATCAGGCGTCTTCTATTCGTTTATATCACTGACTGGCAACCCGAAATACTCTCTGCGTTGAGCCACGTTCCGAAACCAGTTGTTTCGTCAAAGCTTCTTCCATTTATTATGCGTGAAAAGGCATGAAATTCTGACTGAAACAAAGAGTACGTTAGATACCACAACATGCATGTATTCCAAAACACTTCTCTCAGTTCCCTGTGGAATTTCAATGTTACGAAAAGTTACCGCTGACCATCCAGGTTTATTTAAAAAAACGGAGTTCCTATAGTTGCTTTGTGGGACTTTGCAGAAAGTTGGCTTAGTTTGGCTTTTATAAATCTATGTACTACCGGATACATGGGAAAAAGGTCCATTCTAGGAAGTGGTTAAGGATAACTGGACCCGATTGCTTAAATGAGGGCCTTATTCGATGGAAATTTCAGATTCCTATCAGAGTCCGCCATCGAAGAGAACGTCATAGAGTTTGAACATGAATTCGAACCGTCCTGCGAATAATGTTCTTGTACCAGCGATCTAGTCGACCTATTTTCAGTGATCCATATTTTACTGAAGTTTCCAAACTATTCGGTCATAATGGAGATTTCAACGTTTTGTGCTACTGGGTTAAGACCCAATCACGCAGAATAGATCGGACGTGTTAAATATCAGTATGCCCTATCTGGCCTTGTCTTTCTTCCTACTGTGCCAAATACCGACCTCTGACTTCTTATGCATAATTTCGACCGAGTAGGAAAGGCATGATTTGTGACTTTTGTCGCTTCATGAGTTCAAATTAGGGAACTGTGTGGAGGAGACAGCTCTCAGTACACGAACAACTGTTGGAGACGATGCGCCAAAAAACGATAGGACAAGAATGGCTTGTGGATTTCAGGTCTGGACATGTCAAACTCGAAGTGGTCTCACGCAGCAGCACTTTATACGGTCTTCTGAAGGGACTGAAGGAAGATAAGCCCAGGAGAACTGGGCTTCCACATAATACTATGCATAGTCACCTCCTTGCAATCAAGATAACGAAAAAGCTTGAGTATGGGCAGCCCATGACTTGACTGGGCATCAGGCGAAAATGTCGAAGGCGTCAGCCCCATCAGAAAAAGATTAGCGTCACTGTTTGGTGACAGTCTGCTTAGAATTAATCCACTACAGCTTCCTCAGACCTGTTTACCACTCTAAGAAAAAGATGAGTCAGGTCACAGCAAATATGACCACATATCGCAGGTCTGACAAACCCTACAAAAAATTTGCGCGTCAGAGTCAGATACAGGGGACTCCGGTTAATCACGCCACACTGGACCAAAACGTTTTGGCTCAGCTATGCGGATGACCAGGCTAGCAGAGGTTAATAAAAGACATAAGAAACATGCTGAAGCAATCAGCGATCGATCGCCTTCAAAGACGCTGCTCACTTTCCCCTTGGGCCCTAGAAGTCCGCCACCGTTTTGCCGGACCCAGTGATTGTATGGCAGCAGTTGAAGCTATGGTCAGACCCCAGCCACTGTGACCACCGAGCCAGGTCCGAAGTGGGAAATGAGAGACACCAGTAAAGGCAGAATTGTACTCTGTACAGGATGTATGCGGAATAAGGTGTTCGAGCAGGTCGGCAGCCGGACAGGGGGGCAGGTTCGAGTAAGTTGAGTATGTCCGTATTAGTCTTGGAGTTGACTGACCGGTTTGGAAGGCTGTGATTGGCCCCGCGGTTTCAGTGCTGGACAGATGCGATGACAACAGTGTCCGACGAACGGGCTGCCATTGGTACGCACGTACAAGCATGTGCCAGACAGAGATGCGACGCCATGACGGACGCCGGTTGCTACATTGCACATTAGGGTGTATCCTACGCTCCATTTCTCACGACTGACCTATTACTGTGCCTGAATGAGCATGCAGTCAGCAGAATATCCCACTGACTACTCAGATAGCAAATCATTCTCTGAATTGAAACAATCACCGATCCTATTAGGCGGAATTGTAGCTCTAATGGTCGAAATAAACCAGTGATATGCATGCGATACGTTGGCCTGGGTAAAAAGTGGACTCAATTAATCGGGGTATACGACGTCAAAAAAACTAAACAGACTGCCAGTATAACACAATCATTGGCACGCGTCTCATCAGAAAATAATCCTATAACTCTTTTAATTTTGCTATTATCGCGATCAGGAGACGCAAAGCATACGTTAATATATATGAAGACTGGCCCACTTTACAAAGATCGAGGAAACGGTGAACATGGAACTGGTCATTTTTTAAAAATCGCCGTATGCTAAACCTTCAGCCACAACTTTCAATAAGAAGGGATTTCACGGCAAACGATCGCGAAAATCAATTGACTACTCCGAGTTCAAGTGTTCCAGGTGGCTGGAAAATCCAGGAAATAGAGCCAGCATGCCATTGTGTAAGAAATACTTCGAGATTACGCGAAACATTTATCAGTACGATAATACCAATTAAGCAACCACGTCTAGTCAAAGACATAACTTAGAAGTCAGATTCGTAAATTTAGGTTCATAATCCAGAGAGATTAAGCAAGAAGTCCGCTTCCCGCTTGACAGTCACTATGGGCTAACAATGTTGTCATAGGGGAGGGCGCCGACTGTAAAAGAACCGGAAGAGAAAGTTCATTACTTCTGAAGGGTGAAATGCTGTATATCCCATGAGCCCAGTAAACTGAAGTCGACGAGTGAGGCTATGCATGGTCCCCGTCCACCCCTTACCTCGGCATGGCTGTAGCAGAGATCTGTCAGACACCAGTGCGGGAGGTCAACCGTCGCAGGTCTGACGTACATTATAACCGCTAGTTGTCTAGGTACTACAATGGAGAACAACCTCGTAGAAAGAGTTTGCGATGAGCCCGGAAGTAGCTAAGATTTATTTCCAGCAATATGGAAATGCACTGTTTCGGCAGTCTTCATTATCGTTTCTACGTTGGTGCTGGACTCAGGGTCCTGAAGTCGAGTGCAGCCATAATGACGCAATGAACCTATATTAATAGGGGACAGAATGGACCTGGTGGAGCGGAAAGAGAAGATCGGTGATACCACTTTGCCAGACGTTTTTCCGGTAAAACCCACAATCAAGGAACATAAAAAGCCATCGGCTGGTGATCTGGACGGATGGGACGAGGTCAGGCCCTCGGGTACTTTATGGTTATCATCCACCAGTGATCGCTGCAGAACTCGGTCAAATAAGTGGAAAGCGTACCCGTGAGGCAAATGCGGCCACAACCTCTCGCTTTATATTCACAGATTGGTCGTCCTCCTTCTGCAAGGCAGCAAGAGCCTGGAAGGTCAGCTGACTGGAGGTCCGACTACGGGTGGCCGGTTCACAGCCAGTAAGGGCACGTTGCTCCAGGTGCTCTCGATAGAACGCCAGCGCTGTGGGATGCTGCCTTAGCAGGAGGCCTAGCGAAGCTGCATCCAGTTGAGCAGTGTCTTGCAAGGCCATTAGAACCTGCAACAGTAAGTCTGTGTCGCCCGACTCGACGGCCCGAGTCAGGGCCAGACCGTGCTTGTTCAACCGCAACAGCAGAGGTATCTCAAGCGAGGGCCGAGGCTCCAGTTCCAGCAGCTTCTCCGCCAGATTTCGGTGCCCGCACTCTGCTGCCCGAGTGGCCACGTCGGTGAAGGAGAGGCTGGGCACAACGAGGCCGCCGCCACCACCACTGCCGGCAGTGGCTGACCAACGCTGATTGCTAGGAGAACCGGCCAGTTTGGTCAGCACATCGGTCAGGCGACGGAGAAGTAGATGTAGTTCGGGGCCCTGGTCAGCACCGCTTGGCAGGCGGGTGACCCAGTGCGAGAGGATGCGCGTCATGCCGAGGGTGCGCAATTTAGCGCTCTCCTCCGGAAAGAGAAGGGAGGGATGCTGTTGGTGTAGGCGCACCAGCTCGACGGCCATTGGATAGTGGCCGCAAGACAGCAAACGGTCCAGCAGCGCCAGTGGACCTATGCTCTCGTACTGGAACCAGGTGATGGCGATGGAGATCCATGGTACAGCTAGGTTGTTGAGCAGACGCAGGGTATTGCATATTTCCACGGTTCGTTGGGAACTGAGTAAGAAAAGGGCGTTGGGGGAGAGGACGGATATGATCCCGCATATGCGCCAATCCAAAGAGTTACTACGTGAACCCTAGGGAGGGGGGACTATAACAATTGTACTGCATGCTGTGGAGTAAGTGGTGAACAAATTGCACAGAGGACGTTAGCATATACTTTAACCATGGCGACGGGGAGGGTGAGCGTCAAATGACCTGACAACCACCTGAAAAATTTTACCTCCGGAAAAAAGCATGGTAAGCGGGAGGGCACATTTAATCAGACCTTCACTTTGTTCCTATGGATGCCTGATATCTACTGCCGAAGAATTATTTGAGGCGAGCATGTGTGGTCATCAGCCAAGATTATGGTACACAAATCTCTCACCTGTTTGCTAATTTATAATATGGGTGGGAGTGATGCTTTTTCGAGAAACCGGAATAAGTTGCTAAACTGAGACAAGGGGTTTACGAAAAGAACAGCGGCCCATTTACTTTTAACAATTCTGTTAAAGTGCACCGCGAAGCAGAACGAAAAACGTTCGATTGAAATGTTTCCCATCCAATTTTTGGGGAGTAAATTATGATAAAGTGTCAGGCCAACTAAACGAAAAACACGTTTAGTGCACATGTTAGTAGGCAAGCATCGATCTGTTTAGTATCACGGAGCAAACAGATCTCGAATAGGTCGGTAGGGGGTCACAAACAGGCGACCATCTACCAGGTCCTAAGGCATCTATTCAGCCAGCCATAGCGCCGACAAACACGTTGGGCCTGAAATGCAAGCATGAGAACGGTGCGTAGGTGGTTAGCAGATGCTGTCTAACCGGTGAGTCAAGGTCACCATCGGGCCGGAGTTCATTGGTGCTTTGACACCTGCAAGTCCGTATCGGAGAAAACTGGGTAGATGTTTACACGGGAAAAGGCTAACACCAATCCCTACGGCTTTATCTGTCCTTCCCCCTGTAGCTGTTTGTTTGGCCGTTTTGTGGTCAAGTAGGTTGTCGCCTGCTCGTGATCACGACCAAACCATAATCTGGAAGCCGAACAAAACACTGCTTGACCACTAACGGTGTTTCAGGTTCACATACCCAAAATTCTGCTTGAAGAAAAACATCACTTTTGCAGAAGTGTCAGAACCAAATACGGATATTTCAAAAGAAGCAAATGCATTGAGTGGGCTTAAAAAAACTAAAGGATGTCTTTAACATATTCTTCCTTATTGCTCCGAATAAAATATACGCACATGACTTAGCAACGGTGATTAAAAAACAGTCGATGTTTGACATATTTTAAAGACAACTAAGTGAGCTGATGGGAATCCTGGTCCCATACCACGCAAATGGAAATGGTTGTGACTGTCCCTACTTAGGAGAGATGTTGCTGTTACCATCTCCGCACATACCCAATAATGTAAGTGGATCATAAAAAGTAGCACTGGGGGTTTTGCGCTGGACTAATATAGGCTGCTAAGACGACCGCAGTGCACACTTTAGAATGCTAAACAATCAAGTCAGGTGGAGGTGCCACTTAGGGATGTTTGACTTTCTGTGAGTCGTATGCGGTCAAAAGCTGGACATTAACCACCGACCGAGGAACATCATTGGCGAAAACGGTAGCAATTTTACAAATGATCATGCAATCTAACAGAACTTAATAGCACAAAAGCCAGCAGACTGGCTATACTCCACCATGAATCAAACAGTGAGATAGTTCAGAATGCATTCAGGTACTAAACGCCCAGAAGAATTTATGACGATCCGAGAGACGCGCGCTCGCCTCTCAAACGGTTCTCCCTACGACTATACTGCTGCCGCAGGCCAAACGAAACATAGATTCACCTAGAGATTACATCCACAGGCCTATCTTGATTGCGGTACGCAATACAAACTCCGATGTAGAGTCAACATAAGCAGTTGCGTATCGGCGGTAATTAATGACCGACAAAGCCAGGAGGGACTGAAATGGCTATCTTCATTTCTCTGCCCCTGACAGCAAGACGGCGGTCGAAGAGGTACTCTCAGGTTGTTGAGCACTAAGCCAAATGCATGTGAGCTTTGGACCCGCGTCGTCTCGACTACGACCGGGAGTATTCCGACAACGGGCTGGTATATAGCGAGCTGATGACGGCAAATGGGCCAGAAGTGATTATTTCAGCCTCGAGTTCTGGATATGGACGATCAAAAACAGTCTGAGCTTCTTGGGAGCACAAACTGTAATGAAAGAAGGGCAGCCAACGTACTGCGTACCATTTGAGTAAAGAGAAATATGACAGAAATGTAGAGCCGTCAAAAAAGAGAGAACCGGATTCTTACAGCTCATTAACTTTACTGGCATCAAGACCGTGAGCCTTATCCGGGGAGGTGAGCACCACAGAGAGAAAGCCACGGCCGAAACGCGCAGCACTCAGTAACGCCTTTGCGGTCGATTTTGCGGCCAGGGCACAGTGGCTGGCAGCGTCCAGGCATTGGGACACGGCTTCCAACATTCGAACGCCGGACTGAATGGACCGTAGGTATTCATGGGAACCGCCGGAGCGCTCCTCCCAGTGCTTGTAGGCTGACAGTAATAGCACGGCCGGACAGGAGGCGCCGATGCGACCGAGATTCTCCAGGGGAGAGGGGACGCGTTGCAGAAGCTCATGACTGCTGGGAGTGAGGATGCGCAGTCCATCAACCTGAAAAATGTGACGAGTCATGTCTAGGATTATGCTCTCGTTAGACTGCAGGGACGATCTGCCTGTTGTGGTATATGTGCTGTCAGCACATTAATGGACTGGGCAGGCGATACAGCCGAAATCTAAGCATCTGAACGGTACAAACTATCGATAACGGATTGTTACGCAAACTCTCGGATACGCAAAAACCCTGGCAGCTTGGGCTCAGATACGAAACAACTGTTCTTCGTAATGTGCTCTCTCTTCACCCAGTCTTCTGATCTCAACGCTCAGAAACAGGCGAGACGATTTGAGCCTTTCGTTTGTATCGGAAATCGGAAGCGGATTTTATCAAAATTGTCTCCAACTCCACACCAAAGCTCTAAAGTGAAGTGAATAACACGCATTCAGCCCTGGAATCAGGCTGGATGAGCTAACATCACTCCTAGGCATTCTAGACGACAGCCAACCGGAGGCAAATCCGTGACTTAATGGTAGAATGTCTGACTCAAACTATCAATGAGCACAATCCAGGCTTGAGCCCCAAGCCTTCAAGTTTAAGGGCTAGGGTGTGGATGACTGACGACGTTCAATACGACAGAAATGGCCGCGCCAGGTCCCCCTGTCTTTGCCGAAGAACCCCGTAAACTACTTGTTCGCCTACATAAAATAAACTAGTTTCCATAAAGTCAGACGCACGCTTATAGTATGGTACTGATTACCCAAACGTCGATAGAAAAACACTCCTTTTTGTGGCCCTAAATAGTCGCTTTCAGACCTAGGTATTTGTTTACATTTCTCCATGACGAAGAAGGAATAAGTATAAAATAAGTTGTTAAGGTGTTTGCACATACTTGGCGTACTGACGCTAGTTTTCTTAAAGATTTGACACAAAGTGAACACCAAATCGTCTACAATGCGGCAAATGTACCAGCCCATCTAACCGAATAAAGAAAAAGTCTGCTGCAGGGGACGACTACAAATATAGTACGCGTCAACATTAATGAAGCCTTGGTCACGATTTAAAACTGTCCCTTTGAAAGAATAATACTATCAACTTAGAGTTGCGCTACTAGTTGGTCTATACTCCATCCTTGGGTAACCAAAACACAGGATGATATGGATTTCGGATGTGCATTTTTGCAGCCTTCTGTCTCGATCACAGTTGAAGGAAATAATGTTTGCATAGCGTGCTTTATGCAAATTTATCTTCGATATCTGCATAAATTTAACCAAAATCTTTGTTAGGTAGGCAAGACAGCTCCAATTATTACGTTTCCTTTGTTGGAAATGACGGCTCCTTCATAGTCCATTCTTGAAGGAAGATGGCTTTTTGTTTTAAAAAGTTTGCTAATTCCCATTTTATTCTTCACACGTCCCGCGTTTTCACGTACGTCAAAGGATTCTAATCTAACTGACGTGCAGTTTTCTTAAAACGAAATTGCACATCTCTTTACATAAATAGGGAGAGACCTTCTGGTGGTCATAAAGCATTGTAAAAGACATCGGTCACGCTAAGCGTGAAATAGCTTCGAATTTTACAATATGTTAAGCAGTAATGCAACAATCTCGGTCAAGTCGGCGCACGTTGCATCAACTCCAACAGGACATTTGGAGGACCACACAGACCTTGCGTACCCTTTTTCTGCCTTGTCAATGTCTCATATTGTGCAACAGATGGGACACGGCAGTCCACTGTGTGCTCCACAGGAGGGCGAGAGCAGGGGCGGTAACTTGCGCATGAATTGGTTTGGTGTGATATTAGACTTGCGCTTAATCTACCGTGCCCTCTCCTCCTTCGCTACCTGGGCCGGGTGTTATGACCAAGAGGACTGGAGGCGGGAGAGGCCGCGGGTGGCTGGCACGGCGAAAACCCGCTTCTAAGCTTACCACAAGACCCCTTGATCCGCAGCGTATGCCTGACAGGGATTTTCAACAATAACGACAAAGATGGGGGGACGGCAGGGATTCCCATGGTCCGTTTTAGGGACACAAGATAAAACACAGTAGCAAACTGAATGAATCCCTCTCATTAAAATCGCTCGAGATCGCGACGTAATGCTTCCAAAGGTTGCTTAACTTTCGTCCCTCAGAGTGGCTACTTCTGAATTTTGTGGACATGTGGCAAACCACTTATACGTTTTCCATTCGATCCGCAAAAGGAAAGGGTAAGACACGCGAATATGGACCTTCCCGCATTGCGGGCAGTGTTGCGCTAAAGAGTTAACGTTAGAGTTGGGGTTAAGGTTACGAGACAGGAAAAGGTCCCTTTGTTGGAATTTGGTCGTAGACCACTTTTAGTACGGAAGGTCCTTAATCCCGTGCCTAGCCAAAAAAAGTTCGAAGTGTACGTTTTTTCACTATTTCCATAACGGGGCGTGAAAAACAGTCTTGGGAAGATTAATCTCGCATAATTCATTCGGTCTTTTTGCTTTGCACAAAATGACATTCAAATACTGAATGATTTACCATAGTGGCTGCGCGGTACTAAATAAAGGCCCGAAAACGCATGTTTTGCCGATACTGTGCCGTTGCATGAGGAAATTAAGAAGGGCAGCTTGAAGACTGGAGCTGGTATACGAGAAAGTACACGATAAACGTTGGAGGACTCACTGTGAGCCGAATCCCTCGCATCTGCATCACGCTTCCCGCATACTGATAGTAGTCCAAAAGGCAAGCCAGTAGATGAGTGCTAACCAAGCTGCTGGCCAAGCATTCATTCACGGTCTTCGTTTGCTGATCCGTCTAACGTAAGCATTAGATTTAACACACTCAGACGCCAGATCCGTAAAAATCGAATAATGCAGCCATCTCAGTCTGGTTCTCATCTTCAGGGATGAAGTTGTCCTACCAATTGGCAAGCTCTAAGCAACAAATTTTAAGGTGACGTTATTCGGCGTGTACCAAAACCATATCCTAGTGAGGAAGCATGAGAAAGGGTCCAATTAACTCTCCCCCTCACCACTTGAATTGTTTTTTTTTTCAGAGATAAGACTAAACCGACCAGATCAGATCTTCACCGCCGTTCTAGGCGCTCAAACGACGCCAATCTAACTTTCCGAGACACTTTTCTAATAACAGAATTTTGGAGCGTTTGATGTCTGATGTTGTTTTGTCAGACGTTAAAGGGTCAGAAACCAGTAGCTAGTGGATACATAAACAGGTTTTCAAGAGGGAATCCAACCTCAACTTCCGTGTGGATGGACGTGGGATAGAAGAATTCATAGACGTTTTTCTCGACGTCGACAAGGACGATAAAGTTGGTCCACTGAACGGCGATGGTGAAATTATCAAGCCACTTAAGGGCAAGAGGACGACAGCCCGAGACTGAGGTCTTCTCCTCGCTACCCACTGCCGACACACGGCCTCTGAGTGGTAGCTCAAATTTCACCTCCGAGAAGTCGAGGCTTCCCACCCACAGTACGTCAGTGTCTAAGAAGAGGGCCACGGACTGTTCGTCACCCGAAACAGCCATTTTGATGACTGTCGAGAAGTTGGAGGAGAAGTAGGAGGAGGGCAACTCCACCTAAAGTAGAATAGCAGCTTTTTAGGTTGTTGTGGATAGTAATAGCACAGCGTTAAGTCCCGACAATGTCTGAGTACCAAAAAGATTTCGCATGAAGGACAACTGGAACGTTAAAAGAGCCATAAGAATGAAGAACAACTAGCCAGAACAGACGCGTGCAGTCACGTGCAAACTAACTAGTAATACTATCAAATAAGGTCTTTCGATATGTGAAAATAAAACGAATTAAATCACTCTAGGCCCTGTAAAACTCAAAATCAATGTAAGCCTGCCTTGTTGGTGCTGGCTATCAAGATGAAGGACTGCACCAGTGTTCAGCTCCTTCCAGCGAGACGACGAAAACCCGAGTGAGACTTCCAACACAACTACGCGTTACCCGACGCGTCTACAGATAACCGACAGTGGAACGGTCTGCAGAGAAGATTAGCTACGAAATAAGAAGGCTGTCGAATCTGACAAAAATGCTGTGACGGACGATGCATCAGTAGGCCTTCCAGTGCGAATGGGTACGGACCTGAAGAATCGGTTACCTATAAAAAGGTAATAAGCCATAACGGCATTCATCTCGTAAGCCCACATCGGTCGTCCGGCACAATCCTGGAACCTCTAATTGGTGTCGGGGCGGTGGATGGCGGCGTCCACTACCGAATCCAGGAAGAATAGGAAACCACCACGCACAAAATAGTCAAATGCAACCGCCGTCCGGTGAAGTAGTGATTCGGTGGACCGTAAGATGACCGGAGGTATGACTTCAGTGCGCCTCTGTTGGACTTTTTAAGGGTTAATAGAATCCATAGGAGCAATTTCCATCCCCTCAACAATAATCACTATTCACCCGGACAGCCACCACGCGCGACGCGAGTTCTCTACATAAGGGCGACAGCAACTCCCCTTTAGCTACTGAATTTGATTATTTTCGCATCACCACCCCCCCCCCCATAACCTCCACTGTAAGCTGATTGATAGTTTTAACAGTTGGAGCTAGTCCTACCGTTTGATCCCCAGATCGGTAATTAGATATACCTGGCGGCACTAAACTGCATGGTTCGCGACTATTTCGCAGTTCTTCGCTGGGAAGTGGATCCACTATCTGCCACCTGTAGACGTGTAGAGGAACCCACAGTCAGGACAGCAAACTGGGAGCGTCTCTCGTGGGTTTCAGTGTTCCGTCGTTATTATATTGAAAACTGAGTCAGAATGAGTTGAAATACTTCAATAATGTTGGCACTGTTTTTGCCTCACAGGCACTTGACTATTACTTGAAACCAAATAAGCCCGTGTCGATACTTCAAACCTGGACAAGAAGCGGGATTTTAACTCGAAAAACCTGCTAAACACCTTTCCGGGACTCAACGAAAAACGAACTAACGGGTGTCTGTGCGAGTCCGAAAGCTCAGATTAATAAATCTAGTGTTCCAGTAATCGCGCCTTAGTCCTCTTCACGATTCATCAATGCCTTGGGAGAACATCAGCAGACAAAGGGTCAGGCAAACTGCCTCTTCTAACCGATAGGTAGTACGCTAGGTATCTTAAGAATGACCGCTACGTTTGGAACACCCTATACATATCCCTCAAGAAGGCCTCGCAAACTGATGGGGGAAGTGATAGAAGAGGAACGACTGCCAGGTCGCAAATGATCACCTTGTGGGTGCTGCCGACTCCAAGGCGGAAGATGTGCCTCGAGAAGACCAACATTATCCAAGGACCCTTGAAAGCGTCCAAGTTGAGGCCTGGATTCGAGTTGTGGGATGAGATAACATTCCACAAGAAGGAGGGTCGTGCCAAATGCGGGATATCGGCGATTGCTAGGATTCGCTGTCGTTCCAGACTGGTTGCTATGAAAATGCGCGAATTGCCCGTCAGATAGGCGACCGCTGTGTGCTAAGTAGATTGGAGAATGTAAAATTTCAGAGGATGACAAAGGCCAGCGAGCTGAACAAAAAATTACAAAAAGGGATCGGACACGCACATTCTCGTAAGTAAAGAATTTGGCCTTGACTATTTGAGCAGTTTCGGCTTCTTTGCCCAAGCTTAAACGGCGTTTGAATGTGGCACTCATGGTGAGTAGTGTGACGTAGCCAGATCTTTGGACAACAGCAAGTTCGTCCTCCGTTGTCCAACCGATGGCCACTGGGGGGGCATCCTTCCACTACGGGGTGAAAGAAGGAAATAAATGTCTAAAAGCGGCTTGGTAAAGGCAAAGGCAGACCGGTTTCTTATCTCAAAGACGAACTGGAAATGAATAAAAGCTTCCAACGGTTCTTTTAGACGTACAGAACGGAGTATATGACCTTCGAGGGCAGGTTTGGCAACATCTCCCCCTTCCTTCGGGCATCTTCTCAAGGTGTATTTATCTCCAAAACAATGCAAATAAGGCAGACTGGGCGAAATATAAAAATTTTCACAACTAAAACAGTTATTGAGACTCGGGATCGAGTCGCCAAGCTCTCCGAAACAGCATCAGGCCCTGTAACTGCTAAGTTATGGCAGCTAGATCTGTCGACTACGAAAATTAATCGGTATTTCCCTCTTTCAGACCAGTAAGATGAGGTTATTTTCAGTCTCATCAATTAGTTTTTTTGAGATGACGTAAAAAATGATCTTAAAAAGTCGGGGTGATAAGAAAACCCAGAAAATTTGAACCACAGGAAAACCTTACAGCACGACGAAAAAACGCTAAAATAAGCCTATGGGTGAGGCTATGCAGACATTTAGAACAGCACGCAAATCCGTCTTTCACCGAAAATAGCGTATACACAACAGTAAAAGAGCTGTAACTGATGAAGGAAGCCGTATTTGGCCATAAAAACAAGGGCAAAGGAGATGAGATAGAGTTTGGTCGTCTTGGGCAGAGTGCACTAAGTGGGCCTCCCGTCTGCGGGATAACACAGTACAAAAGTGAAAAGCAAATCAGGAGTGCTTTTGATGTAGGTACACTGAGCGAAAGACGCGCGAAGCACGCCTGAGCCCGTCAGGAGTGATACAGCAAACTCACCAAGTTTTCCGCGATCGTCTTTCCGGAGGATGTTGTAATACGAAGGAAGGGTTTCGTCGAGGATGTGGGCCGTTGTAGGAATGCTGTTTAAGAAGTTGTGGTACTTTATCGGAGGGAATTACCGATCTGACCATAAGTCCTTCTGATTGCGATGAAGAAGTCATCAAAGTTAATTGAATCCGACAATGACAGGCTGAACAGCTTGAGTCTTCTGTATTTCAGTGAAATTTATGACTTTTAAATCCTACCTATAATAATTTGACCCGAGGGCGTACCAGTCATCGTTAAGGTTCTTCATTTGTGTTGTTTCGACTTCGTATTTGCAGTTCAAATTTTCATTTTACGAAATCTATGGGAAGACAAAAAATACAAATATTTAAGTAGCAAGTTGCGTCTAAAATGGAGTGTTTTGTAGGGGCCAAATTACAATGAACAACAGGGTGAAACTCGTGAAAGCAATATAAATGTTAGAAATATATATTTCGAAGATATCATATACACGGAAGGTCCATCGGAAAATTAAGTTGTAGTGGTGAATTTTCAAGTTGGTTACAGCAACCCATCGCCAGGCGAAAAGAGTAGTGGAGATTTGGATAAATGCCCCAGAGGGCTTGGGGACACAGAGGTTACATAGACAAACAGACGCCCATATGAGGGGGCGAAAAGCGTGTTCAGAAGGATACCGGAAGCTAGAGAGTTTGAAGACTTCAGCTATGGTTTACCGTCTCGCAGAAGTGTCGAATCAGTGAGATCGTACATGTCCGAGCATGGATTGGCAACTGTTGTTTTAGGGTGGGCGAAAGCCAGTGAACTGTTGGCACAGACCTTTGTAGTAAGCGTCCAGGTCGACGTGGCGATTCATGCTGTTGATGTTGGAGTGTCAAGCTTCGATAAATTTTCACGCCTGTTTGGCATCAGCACTGGCGATCACTTCGGTCTCGTCCAAAATGAAGTAGTGGTTGAACTCAAGGGTGCGCGTAAACACGAGAGGGAAGGGGTCCCGTCGGTGGAGGGTCAGGTTATGGTCATTAATTGGGGTCAGAAGTCGTCCGCCCG